GATACAAAAATATAAACAAAACAATTCACTGAGCAATCACATATGAAAACACTTTTAAGAAAAATATAAGTATAATCTTGGAAAGTAAATGACAAAGAAATCAAACTTAGTGAAAATTTCCAACAAATAAAAGAATTATTATTATTAGATAATAATGTCGGAGGAACTAGCAGCTGAGAGAAACTGCAGGGCTGGAATTGACAAAACTTGTTTTTAAAAAAAATATATGTAGAAACAATAATCCCTTATGGCTTTTTGACTGGGCCTGAGAATTAAATTGATTTAGACAGATTAAATAGAGAAAAGCAGATAGATTTACATGTGTCATGTGAAAGGGGAACCCTCAAAAGGGAGTGAAGACTCCCGAAAAGACAAAACCTACATGCTTTTATATTGGTTTGAATGAAAGAGGCAACTGTGGAAAAGTAACTAGACTAAGTATTGTGGGGGGACTAAAAAAAGATAAGAGTTAGTTTAACAAGGTCTGTTTGGTCAGAATTCACTTGGCTTTAACTCCCTGTGGAAAGATGTTTCTTCTCTCTTGGTATAGGGAAGGCATCTTTCACATCGGAATTTTATCTCCTGTTTTCAGGAAGAAAAGGAGAGATTAGAATATCCTTCTTGCACCTGCTATTTTATCAAGAGCCTTTAACTCAAAATAATCTTGATGCCAAAGTGATTTATTTTGGGCTGTCATCTTCTGCCATCCTTCACTTTTAAAGGATAATTTTGCTGGAGATAGAATATTAAGTTGGTGGGTTTCTTTTCTTTAAACACTTTAAGTATGCCACTTACTCTCTTGCTTGAATGCTTTCTGAAGAGAAGTACAATCTAATTTCTATCCTTCTTCTAGAGGTAAGATTTTCTTTTCTTCTGGCTTCTTCAGGTTTTCTCCTTTTTTTTTTTTAATTTTCTATGGTTTGAATATGATATGCCTAGGTGTAGCGTTTCTGGTATTTATTATGCTTGCTGTTCTTGAGCTTCCTCAATTTGGGAAAATTCTCCATCATTATTACTTCACATATTGTTTCTGTTCCTTTCTCTGTTGTTTTCCTTTTGGCATCACTGTGGTGTGCATGTTCTACCTTTTGTAGTTACTCCACAGTGCTTAGATACTCTGTTCCTTTTTTTTTTTTTTTTCCATTCTTTTTCTTTTACTTTTCAGTTAGGTAATTTTCTATTGATATATCTTGGTATATCTTTAAGTTCACTGATTTCTTTCCTTAGCCATGTCTAGTCTAGTGATGAACCCATCAAAGTCATTCTCCATATCTGTTAGTATGTTTTTTAATACCTAGCATTTCCTTTCAATTCTTTACAAAAGTTTCCATCTCTCTGCTTACATTACACCATCTTTTCTGCCATTTTCTTCCATTAGAGCTCCTAGCATATTAATCATATTCTAAATTCCCAGTCTGAAAATTCCAAAATCTCTGCATATCTGAGTTTGGCTTTGTCTCTTCAGACAACACTGTTTTTCTTTGTCTTTTAATAGACTTTGTAATTTTTTGTTTAAAGCAGACATGATGCATCAGATAAAAGAAACTGATGCAAATAAGCCTTTAATATGAGGTTTTATGTTTATCTAGCTGTTAGTCAGTGTTTACTGTTTTCTGTATCTATAGATGTTAGAGGCTAAAATTTTATTCAGTGTCCTTGTATTTTGTCTCCCTGTTGTTTTTCCCTAGAGACCAATTCTTCTTTTTTTTTTTTTTTTAAGATTTTACTTATTTATATGACAGACGGAGATCACAAGCATGTAGGGGGCAAGCAGAGAAAGAGGGGGGAAGCAGGCTCCCTCCTGAGCAAAGAGCCTGATGCAGGGCTCGATCCCAGGACCCTGAGATCATGACCTGAGCTGAAGGCAGGGTCTTAACCCACTGAACAACCCAGGTACCCCTCGAGACCACTTCTTAAACAGAAATATAAATGCTTCAGTTATAATCCCCTGTTATTATACAGGAGTCTTGTTGATATGTTTAGTAAGGTATAGGGGAAGAGATGCATTCTATAATCCTGTATTTATGTCTGAGTCTTTTCATGGCACTGTGCCCTATGACCTTCACAAGTGCTTCTCAGCTTTCTTCCCCATGCCTCCTTAGATGAGATAGAATATGGCAAGTGGGGGCTGGAGGTGGGTATTTCTCTTCCCCATGTGGAAAGATAGAAGAGGTTATAATTGGGTATTTCCCTTCCCCCTACGTCAGTTCAACTCTGGTAAAACCCAAGTTGGTTAGGCTGTGGTAAAATAGTTTTCCTTGAGGGCAGACCTTTTTTTAAGGAAAACTGAATGCTGTGACTTTTTCTATTATTCTGCTAGAAGCATGAAGGGATTTTTCTCTGATCTTCACCCTGAGAACCTGGTGGGTCTCTTGGGAATAAACAAGAAAGTGGGGGTGGGAATCCCCCTAAACATGGACCCCAGAAGTTTTATCTCTTAAACTTGTCTAGGCTTTGTCTCCAGCAAGTAGTCAATTACTCTTAAAGTGTTCTTACTAGTTGTTGAATCCAGTGGAGGCTTCTGCTGCCAATAAGCCATAAGTGTATATTAACCTATTACTCTCATTTTGGGAGTGATGGTTTTCCTTGTAACCTCAATTCTCTGATGGATCAAAGACGAGTTGTTGATTTTCAATGCATGTACTATTGTTCCTTATTGAATGTTCTACTAAGGCACATTCATTGTTATTATTTTTATACCTTAAAATGTCTAGATTGTTGTTCTACAGAAATTAAATAGTAAAAGTAAAAATACTTATTGCACAGAAAAAGCCATTGAATAAGATACACTACAACCTACAGGGGCATGTTTTAAATTTTATATATATATAATACCTTCTATGACGTATAGCAGGAGTATTAGTGGTACAAAATTTTTTTTCCCAAGGAAATTTTATGTGGAACTCTACTTATTTAACAGATCACATCCTTTAATGCTCAGTCAAGGATATTGTTCTGACAATAGTTTTTCATTTATTCAATTCATTTATTGAGTACCTACTATATACCAGGCACTATTTGAGACATTGGGATATGTTGGTCAACAAAATAACCATAGATTCTTATACCACAATACCTGTAGTGCCCAAATATAGTTTGGGACCTAGGTTACATTAGGGTCCCTATGTTCTGATGGATCAGTTCAGAGCCTGCAGAAAGTCCTTATGACATCTGTTCTACCAATGTTTCACTGTTCCCTCAACTTGAGAAATGGCATGAGACTATGATGCTTACCTAATGCTAGTGCTACCATTTTTAGACCTCATTAATTTCTATCCAACTTGCTGAGATCTTAGAGTTTTTAAAATTACCTTCAGATTCAGGGAAGCCTGTGGCAATAATCTTAAAACTTTGAGTATGTGGAGGACCTGGGTTGCTTAGTTGGTTAAGCGTCTGCCTTTGGTCATAATCCCAGCATCCTGGGATCGAATCCTGCATAGGGGAGCCTGCTTCTCCCTCTGCTGCTCCCCCTACTTGTGCTCTCTCTCTCTCCCTCCCTCTCTCTCTCTCTCTCTGTGTCAAATAAATAAATAAAATCTTTTTTAAAAAAAGTTTGGGTATGCTAAACTTTTTACAATGAATTGATGAAGGTAAGTGTTCTCTTAGCCTTCTTTCAATTTTTTTAATGAAGCATTTTTATAGATTTTCATCCTATAGACAACCATTGATTTTTTTTCTTCTTTTCTGTTCTCTATTCAAGAATATAAAATAATGCTTTTTCACGTTATGCCTTTAGGAACTCTGTTACACAGCATGTGCACATAATATAACACAACTTATAAAGTTATAGTTTCCAGATGCTGCATAAAGTTAAAATATAAAACATAATAACATAGGTAATGCTTTTAAAGAGGAAATTCTGTTTTCAAAATCTTCCAAATTATTTGTTTTCAAAAGCATGCAAGGAAAAGAAAGTGTATTGATAGAAATGTGGCTGGAGATATTGGGAAACAACAGTGGATTGTGAAAATGCTATAAAACATTACATGGTAGGAAACTGCCAAGAAAATATAAACCATTATACAACTCTGTTAATAGTAACTTTATTTCTAATTCAAGACCATTCTAACAATGTATGTGAGATAGTGCATGGAGAGCAGATAAATAATTTTAGGACAATATTTTAAGTGTCTCTCTAGTCTCAAACAAAGACTTCTAGGATAGTGGGTGCTTAGAAAGAATTTGAGATTTATTAGTCCTCATTGCCACATTAGGCAAAGAATACATTGGTAAGTACCCACCAGCTTACCTAAGTCTCCTGAATGGCTTCTCTGTGACCCATCCTATGACTCTCCTTTTCTATCCAGGTTAATGGAACATCATCAGAGAAAGAATAACTTTCACATTGGAAAAGCATGCATCTTATTGTTGACTTCCATATGTTAGTCTTAAGTACCTTATATCCCATGATCTTGCAGTGTTGTTCTGCAAGGGAATAGAATTTTGAATGAAGAATGTTTGTCTTGAGCCTTATGCAGGAAGGGTCTTATTCAAAGTACTGAAAATTTCTTTTAAGATAATTTCGTATGTTATGGCTGGAGCTCAAGAGCATGACTTCGAATGATATTATAAACCTTCTGAAAAAGATATATACACGCAGATATATACTTATAAATATGCACATATATTTATCTATGTTATATGAGATAAAACTATTTTAAAAACAGGAGAATGATTAACTCTAGAATCAGGAAAATAATTATCCTTAGGTTATAGTGAGGTGGATGAAATTTTGATAAGCTTCATAGGGCTCTAAGGAAGGGACAAGTTAATATCTCTTTTGTAAGCTGAGCAGTGAGCTTATGGGAATTGATTTTACATATGATCTACTTCATTTTAAAATGTGAAAAAATGAAAGTCACACATAAGAAGTGTTACATCATGAATGTCTGATTTTTTTTCCAGTGGAATTTATCTATGACACCAGTAAGGATTCTAATACCATCTCAGAGCAAACTTTGATGGACAAAATGTCATAATCTTTTTTTTTTTTCTTTCAGTCCGAAAGGATATAGTTCGCATCCTCCCCAGTTTAGATGTTGAAGTCAAAGACATCACTGACAGTTATGATGCCAACTGGTTTCTTCAGCTGTTATCTACACAAGATCTCTTTGAAATGACCAGTAAAGAGTTCCCCATAGTGGCTGAAGTCATAGAGGCACCTCAGGGAAACGAGCTGCCCAGAAGCACTTTACAGCCTGGGAAAACCATTGTGATCCATAAAAAGTACCAGGCATCGAGAATCTTAGCTTCAGAAATTCGAAGCAATTTTCCTAAAAGGCACTTCTTGATCCCCACTAGTTATAAAGGTAAATTCAAGCGGCGGCCTCGGGAGTTCCCAACTGCCTATGACCTTGAGATAGCAAAGAGTGAAAAGGAGCCTCTCCACGTGGTGGCCACCAAGGCCTTTCATCCTCCTCATGATGAGCTATCATCCGTATCTGTCGGGGACCAGTTTCTAGTGCATCACTCACAGACGACTGAAGTCCTTTGTGAGGGAATCAAAAAAGTGGTGAATGTTCTGGCCTGTGAAAAAATCCTCAAAAAATCCTATGAGGCAACACTGCTCCCTTTGTACATGGAAGGAGGTTTCGTAGAGGTGATTCACGATAAGAAACAGTACCAGATTTCTGAGCTCTGTGCACAGTTCCACTTGCCCTTCAACGTGAAGGTATCTGTGAGAGATCTTTCCATTGAAGAAGACATTTTGGCTGCTACACCAGGACTGCGGCTGGAGGAAGCTATCACAGACTCTTATCTACTCATAAGTGACTTTGCCAGCCCCAAGGAGTGCTGGGAAATTCCTGTCAGCCGCTTAAATATGACTGTCCAGCTAGTTAATAGTTTTTCTGGGGACACAGGATCAGTTCTAGTCAGGAGTCTGGTTGAAGAGATCACCGAAGAACAGTATTACATGATGCGAAGATATGAAGGCTCTTTTTCCCACCCCCCACCTCGCCCTCCCAAACATCCCTCAGTGGAGGAAACAAAGCTTACCCCGTTCACCTTAGCAGAAAACAGGGCTGTGGGTCTGCTTAAGTCTCCCAAGGTAAGGCTATGATTTTGTAGTTTTTCCTTTTTAGCATTTTTCTTGAGGCAGTTTATTTCAAGTCTCCTCCGAGTTTGTTTTTTGCTTACTTTTCTTTCTCTCATGCCATATCTGAAATGAGCCTTTCTGATGCACAGTAGATGAATGAACATCAACAGAGCATAAGCTGTTGCAGCATTTTGTATTTTGATGCTTAACCAGTAGATGTGACAAGAAGTTTGTATTAAATTAGAAATAGCAGGGAGGACATTTGGATATGATGACCCAAACTGCCGTCTCAATGGGTCTTGGTAATTAGGAATGTTTGATAAGTTTCCTCAGAAGCAAATCTCTTTATTTTGGAAGTGCTGTTCTTTTTTTCTAGGTAGAGTTGTTTTAATACTTCATCCAGGAAATGAGCATACAATAAACTCCCTTCTTCGGGGGGTTAGCAGTAGCATGCATCTATAACACATGTCTTCATTTTGTTTTATGTGCAAAAAGATGTAAAAATATCTTGGCAGAACTGTGTGTGAGCATATGAGCATCTGCCCACATTCTGCCTATCTGAGGATTGTAATCTTTAACAGTTCTATTGAAAAACAAAATCAATAAAATTGCAGACAGTGTGAGATCATAACAGAATCAACAACTCCATAACCATTGGAAAGATTTTGGGAAGGGAGGGGTCTCAGCTTCATTTCTACTTAAAGTCTTTGCTTCTTGAAAACTGCCTGCTGTGTGCCTGGAAAGCACTTGCCAGTACACCATGGAGTGTTAGGTCGTTTATCTGGCCAGCCGTGGTGCTGTGGTGTGTGGAAGGAGTGCATTCTGGCCTGGCAGATGTTGTTGGAGCAGCTTGGGGAAACAAAGCAATTAGTAAAACAAAGAGAGATGCTGTGTTTACTCTCTATACTCAGGAATGATAGCAGCCTCAGGCTTTAAGTATGTGGGTATGAAAATACTTTTAATTCTACATTTCAAAGAGTGCATTCTGAGTGTATGCTGGATAAATCTGGAAAGAATCTTCAAGCTCATTTTCAGAAGAAAGATAAAAGGAGCAGAAATTTCCTTTCCAGAAAAAACAATCTTGAAGGAGTCATTTTAAATTAAAAAATTGTTCCCAAATAATGTTGATTAACAGGTTGCTATTAATGTGGAGTGTGTCTGACTTCTACTGTTTAATATATTTTTATTGCTGAATGGAATGATGTGAGAGATGGAATGCTGGTCTTATTTTTAGTGGTAGGTAGAATAATTCTCCGCCTCACCCCCCCGCCACAATACCTTCCCAAGATGTTCATGCCTAATCTTCCAGAACTTGTGACTATGTTATATTAGATGGCAAAATAGACTTGGTACATGTGCTCAAAATTAAGGACTTTGAGATGAGGAGATTATTCTGGATTAACCAGATAGGTCCCACTTAGTCACAGATCCTTAAAAGAATCTTTCCCAGTTGAAGTCAGGGTCAGAGAAAGATGTGACTCAGGAGAATGGTCACAGGGAGATGGTGTTGTACCTTTGAAGATGAAGGAAGGGAGAATTGAGTCATGGGATGCAGATAGTTTCTAGATGCTAGAAAATTTAAGAAAACATTCTCCCCTAAAGCCTCCAGAAAGGAACACAGCTCTGATGTGGTTTTGGAATATAGGTGAGGTATGGTGGAGTGAGGTGTGGAGCTGATGACCAAGAAAGATTCAGCCAGTCTTTTGTTCCCTCATCAGCTCTGTCAACACCTTCATTTTAGCCAGTGAGACTTATGTAGGATTTCTGACTTACAGAACTGTAAGATAATCAATTTGTATTGTTTAAGGCACCAAGTTTATGTTACAGCAGCAATAGAAAGCTAATATAAGACAGAAGTTAAGCATGAGGAATAAGTAAAACCTTTGCATAGAAAAATCTATATTTAAGTCAGAACTTGTTTTTTTTTTTTTTTTTTTTTTTTTTTTTTCCAAAAGTGGTTTTTCTTTTTCTTTTTCTTTTTAATGAATTTATTAGCTCATGTACCCATAGAGAACCTAAGGGTACAGCTAACTGTCCTAAGGACAGTTGGAAGGAGAATTTTGAATGTGGCCAAAGTGGATTTTGCTTTTCATCACAAGAGTTACTTTCACAGACTAGTTTTACTCATACAAAGCACACTATGATGATGGTTCCAGCATCATATAGTCTCACCACTTGAGAAGAATATCATCTCTTTGTTTGTTTCCATTTCTAAAAGAGGGGGACTTTGGAGTACTTGCCTATTTCCTGGTTCAGTCGATTCATTGGCTCTCCCAACTTACAGTAAAGACTGGTGGGGAAGGAAATGAGGACTGGTGTCTCAAATGGTAGAGATAAATGTGTAGTATGTGAAGAACCAGAGATGTCCATTACAGTCAGAAAGGAAGGAGTTGAAAATCCTAAACTACTAAGAAAGCATTCATAGAAAAAAAATATGGACTACAAGTTTTAAAAATGCCATTTCACAGAATGTCAGATGAAAATGATCCAAGTGTTTTATTAGGAGAGAAACTCATAAAACAATGTTACACCTAGATTACTGACTTGGAGAAACCCTCAGACCCCCTCCTCAGTTTCTTCTTTATTCACACAAATGCCACAATCACAATACTTCTGACACCAGATATGTGAGTTTTCTGACACCAAACAGGTTGCTGACACCAAGTGGGTGTCCTACAACTTAACTCAATTCGAAACTACTTACTTGGAGATAGTGTCCGATTCCACATGTTAAGGGCTCAGTACCTCAAGTCTGACCCCCACTTCAGATGCTAATTGCAAGTAGTAGGTCTCAGGTTACCTACAACTTCTATCTGAGAAGGCTACAAATTGGAGTTCCCACAAGCCCCTCCTCAGGTTCAGTGAGCTCCCTAACACGGCTCAGCAAACTCAGGAATTGGGTTTACTAGTTTATTAAAGGATGTGATAAAGAATAAAGATAAATAGTCAGAGGAAGAGCTATGCAGGGCAAAGTCTGGTAGGGTCTGAACATAGGAGCTTCTGTCCTGTATAGTTGGGATACACTACCCTCCTGGTATATGGAAGTGTTTGCTAGCCTGAAAGCTCTCCAAATACCATACTTTTGGGATTCTTGTGGAGGCTTCCTCACATAGGGATGATCAATTATTAACTCCATTTCCAGTCCTTCTTCCCTCTCTGGAGAATTCCAGAGTGGACAGTGGTGGAAGGGCTGACAATTCCAAGCTTCTAATTATGGGGTGATTTTTCTGGTGAACAGCCTCCATCCAGAAGCCCATCGAGTCACCTCATTAGAACAAAAAAAAATATTCCTATTACCCAGGAAATTTCAAAGGATTTAGGAACTCTGTGTCAGGAACCAAGGATAGAGACCAGTATATACATTTCCTAGTATCTCACAGTTACTAAAATAAAAGTAATGCAATCTTTGACTAAATTCATATGTGTAAGATTCCAGATCAACTTAATAATCGCTATGCTAGTTCACTGGTTAGACCATACAGGGATCCTTTTGTCTATTTCTGAATCTCACTTCTTTTTAATTTAATTTAATTTAATTTAACTTTAAGATTTATGTATTTCAGAGAGAGAGCACACAAGCGGGAAAGGCAGAGAGAAAGAGAATCTCAAGCAGACTCTATGCTGAACATGGAGCCTGACATGGGGCTTGACCTCAGGACACTGAGACTATGACCTGAGCCAAAATCAAGAGTCAGATGCTCAACCAACTATGCCACCCAGGCACCCCTCTGAATCCCACTTTAAAGAATATCGAGTCATAGAAGTTTGTTAAATGTTGAGTTATTTGTTAAGATGTTAAAAAATCCAAAGCCATTTTTATCTGAGAAATAATTGATGGAACTGCGTGATTAAACTTGAATGATACTGTTGTATACATTTAAGGAGCTACTCTGTGGCAAAGAATACATTCCTTTTTTTTTTCTCTTTTTTTAAAATATATTTTTAAAAATATATTTATTTGACAGACAGAGATCACAAGTAGGCAGAGAGGCAGGCAGAGAGAGAGAGGGCGAAGCTGGCTCTCTGCCAAGCAGAGACCCCAATGCGGGGTTCGATCCCAGGACCCTGATATCATGACCTGAGCCGAAGGCAGAGGCTTAACCCAGTGAGCCACTCAGGCACTCCCAAAGAATACATTTTTATTTTCTATCACAACATTGGCTGAGAGTGAATGGGAAGACAATTCTGGTGTGTAATATGTGGGAATAGATTCCTTGTCCCCAAAAGGTGAAAGCAGAAGCTAAGAAACTCTAGGTCAGAGATATTATCAGGACACTTGAGCTCAGCTGAAAGTTTATCAGTCTGTTGAGAAGGGTCAATAATTCTTTGTTTATAAGTAGTTTCATCAATGCTAGTGTAGTAGATAAAAAATTATATTTTCTATGAAATCATTTAAAATGGGAGAGAATGCTACCATTTACCTATGCTCAGACCTACTGACCTCATTTTCAACACATTTTCCTACCATGAAGATAGAAATCTGCTTAGCAGATCATTTTTGAAATATAAACAGAAGTTCTCTCAGTTTCTGCATAATCTACTTGAAAAGTCTTGCAACCAACTATTTCTTATCATCACAGTGTCATCCGTTCATATATTTCTTTTATGTTTCTTCTCATATCTACATTAAAGCTCTTCTATCTATGTATGCTTTTAGAAGTGATCGGTTAAAACACTTTTTATACTCCACAGGCAGGAAGCAGTCATTGAAAACAAGCCTCGAAGATTTTAACTTGCATATGGAATATTGCTTTAAACTCAGAGGGCTGTTCAGAGTTTAAATATTCAAACCCACTTAACTCCTTAAAATACCTTATTCTATATGTAGATAAGAATATCGGATTCCTCATTATGTAAGCTTACTTATGTTTTCCCAGTGGGTCAATACTTTTCTGAGATCATTTCTTGCACTGTGAAATAACAGGACGGATGCATGTGCTACCTGAGAGTACAGATATCCACCACCAGTGATGAACCCTACAGGTTCATCTAGGAAGTTTAGAAATTAAGAC